TGTGTGTGTGTGAAGAGAGGATAAAGCAGCGGTAGTAAAATATTAACATTTTAGGAATCTGGAAGTAGGATATCCAGGAATTCTTTGTCCTGCCATTCCAAGTTTTTAGAACTTATGTGAAATTGGGGGTTAATCATAGGGTTGCACAATTTGATTGGGGGTGGTAGTGAAGGAAGTGAGAAAGAGCTGGTGTGAAAAACAGTGTATTCAAACTTTGTAAGTAAACCAGTATAAAGTAATAATTAAAACAGGACAAAAAGTGTTATGAAATGGACCTACATATATTTGCAGCTATTTTAACAGTTTTTTACACTTTTATATGATTTGGTGTGTAAAATTATATTCCTTTTTAAAAAAATATTCACTTTCCCCCCTTGCCTAATTGTATTGGCCAGGAGCCCTGGTGGCACAGTGGTTAAGCAATTCAGCTGCAAAATGAAAGATCAGCTGGTCTGCTGGTCAGTAGTTTGAACTCACCATCAGCTCTTTGGGGGACAAAAGATGTGGCCGTTTTCTCCCTTACAGATTACGCTCTTGGACATCTGCAGGGCTGAGCAACTGTGTCTTGTGGGCTGCTGTGAGTTAGAATCTGTTCTGTGATAATAGTTTAACTGTATTGGCCAGTACCTCCTGCCTGAATCATATGAAATACCTTGCCTTGGCCCTGATTTTGGTCGGTTTTTTCCCCCCAAAACTGATCTTTGACCCATAAATATGGTGGATTATATTAACTGGCTTCCAAATACTGAACTACCCCTGTATCCCAAGCATAAGCCCTCTTCCTTGTGGTATAGTTGGAAAAACCTGCCTCTGGGTTGTTTACATTTCATACCAAACAGAGTTTCAGACTTTCCTCACCAGGCAAGAGGGGAGTTGTGTTCCCATGTGCCAGCCTTTTATGTCAATACTATGCCAGCTTCCTAAACATGAGTCCAATCACCCATTTTATAGACAAGGTAAACTGAGACCCAGAAACGAGAGGTAACCCTTCCAGGTTATTCTGGAGCTGAAGTTTTGCCTCCAAGTTGTCATGTCTGTAGTGTGAGAGAGGTGCTGAAGTCAAAGGGACATTTCCAGCCCCAAGTGAGTTTGAGCTGACTACGTGGGTCTCAGTTTCTCCATTTGTAGAATAAGCAGTATGGTCAGGAAGTTGGTCCCAGGCCCTTTTCTGTACAGATTCTGTCCTGGGCCCAAAGCTGAGCGTTGATGAGGTCACTGGGGGTGTCGCCAGCATGCCTCCAGCTTTCCTGACCTAGAACTCCGGTTTGCACGGGAGTAGAGTCATCCCCGTTCGCGTCGCCCCTGTCGCCGGCAGCCTCCTGAGGGTCTGGGGCGGCCTCGAGAGCGGGGATTGGACCGCGGCCGGGACCCTGAGCGAGGGTGGGGGTGTGATTCTCTGCGTTGGGGGCCCATCTCCGTCTCCAGCGCGTTGCTGCCGGAAAGAGGGAGGGAACGGGGTGGGGGTGGGGCGGGGGCTGATCAACATCAGGACCACGGTCCCCAGAGACAGCAGCCATGCTCCACGTGGGGACCTCCGTGGTCCTGCCTGCCCCTTCTCCTAGCCGTCAACCTCTACAGCCCCCGCCAACCTCAGGTGTTCCAAACCCTGCCTTCCTCGAGCAGCTTCATCCATCTTCACCCCCTGACACCTGAGCCCCTCAAAACTCGCCATCTACTGAGCCTCTCAACCCTGGCCCCACTTCAAGGATCCTTTCACCTCATTTCCCTCCCCAGGACCTCACCCCAGGATCCTCCACCCTTCAACCCAGACCACTTAGGAGAACACCTGTCACTTAAAATCCTCATCGATCCGCTTCTTCCTAAGAAGCTCCACCCTCCAAAGCAGTGACCCCTCCCTAGATACTCCCTTTTCCTTGTATTTCTACCTTCCCCCTGTCCCTTCCTGGCAGTACTCCTATCAATGTCAGATTTCAAGATTCCTTGCCTCCCAGAGTGCCTGCCCTACTTGTGGACCCCTTCCCCTGAGCCGGACCACCTTTACCACCAGGGTTTTTTAATCTAGGACCCTCCCTGGGATGCGCCCCTCACACATCTCCCCAGGCCACGCCCCCCGGGATGATTGGCACAGAGACACCAGCCCTGCACAGCCATTGGCCGCTCGCGAACCGCCCCTCACTCACACGCGCTCTCGCAGCGCCGCCTCCCGGGCCGCGCAGGCTCCACCTTCTGCTTCGGCCGCGCGTGCGCGGTGCTGCGCCTCCTCCTGGCGCCGGGTGGCCTCAGCTGCAGCCTCCTCCCAGCGCATCAGGGCTTCTGCAGGAGGGAGCAGGAGAGGAGGTTTTTGGTTTTGGGGTTTGGTGGGGTTTTTTTTTCTGCAGACGATTTTGCGCGCTCAGCTTTATTTACATTAAATGTGCATGATATTCACACAATTTTCGTGTTGACTTTGTGAGCCGTTTATTTACTTTGTTACATTTTCGTTGATCTTGTGATCTTTGCGTGCTCTTCAAGTTTGCATCCCTTCAAGTTTTTGTGGTCATTTACATTGCGTTTGCATTAATTTGCATAGCGAGGAGATTTTTGAGGCGTGCTCCCTTTTACCCTGCTCTGCTCCTCACCTGTCAGCACCCCATTCTCCTTTCCCATTTGGGTCCCCTGTGCTCTGGCTTCATCCATCTCCATCTTCATTGTCTTCAGTTGGGTCTGAAGCCGGCTCTGCGGATAGGCACAAGAAAAAGATGACAATTTGAGGACTGGAGTAAACTGATCGTTGCTCTTTCTGGGGGAGATTAAGATTTTTCCCCAGAAAATAACTTAGACCCTTAGTGCTGGTGTTGTTTTTGTGTACCATGGAGTTAAATCTGACCCATAGCTGACCCTCCGGCGGGTTTTTAAGATTGCTCATGCGTCTCCCGCGGAGGGACTGCCAGATTCGAACCACATACCTTAGAGATTGCAGTGCAGATTCTTACCACTAAGCTACCAGAGCTTCCTTTAGTAGACAGTTATATGTTGGACCCTCAACTAAGAGGTCAGCAGTTCAAATCCACCAGCTGATTTGCAGAAGAAAGCTGTGCAGTCTTTTCTCATAATTACAATCCTTGAAATCTGATGGGGGTTTGCCATTAAAACCAAATCAACAATAGTGGAATTTTTTTTGTTTGGATTTTATAGTAGTAAATAGGTCCCTAAGTGGCACAACAATTTGTGCTCAAACTAATTTACAGGTTCACACCCACCCAGTAATATCACAGAGGAAGACATAGTAATCTGTTTCTGTTAAGATTACAACCAAGAAAAGTGGGGTTTTCTTGATTCAGAAACAGACTTGACAGTGCTGTGTTTGTGGAGGTTTGGGTTGGGTGGGGTTTTTTTTTGTTGTTTGTTTTTAAATTTGGCAGTTGTAAAACAAAAATAGGGAGCTCCCGTGACCTAGTGGCAAAGAGCTGTGCCTCACTCTCAAAAACACACAGTTTAAGTCCACCAGTGGCTCCACAGGAGAAGGATAGGCAATCTCCTGTCGTGCGATTAACCGCTTCTGAAAACCTGCTGAAGGATCAGCTGTGGATCAGTTCTGACTCGATGGTACAAAACAACAAAATAAAAACAGCCCTGAAACCCAGGGCGCTAAGTGGTGTCAGCTGCCTGGAGGGATGTCTTCCCCCAAGGTTCACCCTCAACGCCACAGCCACCAAGAAACACGTATTCCACTGTTAGTTATTCCCTGGTTCATTCTCCAGCTTGAACTTAAGTTTGCCAACCTGGAGGTTTCAAACCAACCCAAGGCAATTTTGTGGCCACTAATTGGGAATCTGGGCTTTATGCTGGCTGCCTCTGTGGGACACTTTGTGAAACAATTGGGCTGGGCTCTTCAGAGAATCTACCAGAGGTACTGAACCCAGAAATAAGCCTCATTTTGATATGGTAAACTTAGATGCTGCCTACCTTCTTTACCGGCAGGGTACTCGGTAGACACTGAATACTTGTAAATGGGATTTTGACTATGCATCTTTTTGCAAGAGTCTGTGGGTAGTGCAAAGTGTTAAGTATTCAATTACAAGCCAAAAAAACCCCTCACAGCCTTGAAAACCCTTTGGCACACAGTACTGCTCTGCACACTTATGGTCACCATGAGCTGGAACTGACTCCAGGGGGACAACTTCTGCGAGGCTTGGGGCTGGGAAGGGTTAAGGGGAGTCTGAGGCCGGCCAGCTGAAGGAAAGGGAGGGCCTGTCGGGGAAAACCACCAACTTTAGCCTTCTAATTACAGGTGGTGAAAGTCCCTAAATAGGGCAGCTGGACACCGGCCTGGGGGAGGGGGACACAGGTCGAGCCCAGGTGAGCTTGGGGGTCTAGGATTTCCTCCCATTCAAACTCACTGCCTTGGAATGGATTCCAACTCAAGGGTACCCCATGTGTTACAGCACAAAACCCATCTCCATAGGATTTTCTGGGCTGTGATCTTTACAGAAGGGAACGTCGGTGGCACCCCAGTAAAGTGCCTGGCTGGTTAGTGAAAGCTTGGCAGTTTAAACCCACCCAGCCCCTCTACCAGATGATGATCTGTTTATGTAAAGATTGTGCAAACCGGGGAGCTCTGGTGGCCTAGTGGCAAGGAGCTGCAACTACAATCCTAGAGGCGCACGATTCAAATCCACCAGATGCTCTGCCGGGGAAGGAGGGGCAGTCTCCTCCTGTACCAGTCAGATCTGATTTGACGGTACACACACACACACACACACACACACACACACACACACACCATTGTGTAAACCAGAGCCAAACATGTAGCCATCGAGTCAATTTGACTCAGAAAAGCTACAGAACAGAGCTACCCCACAGGGTCGTGGCTATAATTTTGGGGCTGCAGACACAGCTGTATCTTTCTCCTGTTCAGCATCTGGGATTCTAAACAGCCAACCGTTTTGGTCTGCAGCTGAACGCTTAACCACTGCATCACCAGGTCTCACTGCAGTAAAGGCTCTAGCCCAGCAAAGCCTCTGAGGTGGTTTCCCTCTGTCATATGGGGCCACTCTGAGTTGTCATTGACTCAGTGGCACCCGGCAACGACCTGGGACTCTTCACAGAAGCAGATTGCCATTGCCAGGCCTTTCTTCTAAGGCAATCAAACAGCCAATGCTTAGGTTAGTGGCCAACTGCAAATAGCTTGTGCCACCAAATAGTAGGGAACCATAGTGGGAACCCTCTTGGCCAGAAAGGAAACTCAAGGATGAACTGACTTAGAAGTTGTAAGGGGTTAGGTGCTGTTTGTATTGTGTTGTTATGTGCTGTCAAGTCGCCTGCGCCCCTGTGTGCAGCATGCCGTAAGCCAGTCTCACTGACTTCAACACACCTACCCCATTGCCCCAGTTTGTAATTACTTCCCTCAGTTGAAGAATTGGGAAACTTGAGGCACAGGGTGGTTGGGGGCTTGAATCTGAAGCCTTGAGCTGTGTATGCAGGTTCCTCACCCTGATATCCTGATTATTCCAGAGCCCCCCACACCCTGCCCACCTACCTGGCGGCCCTCACAGGCCCTCAGCGCCTCCTGTAGTGACTGGCGGGCACCCTTGGCCTGTTCCAGCTGTCGGGCCAGGGCCTCCTGACGCTGGACAGCTTCAGCCACCTGTCGCCGCAGTTCCTCGACCTCGAGGGGGTCCCCAGTGGGGACCCCGGGTGGGTTCTCAGGGGGGTTCCCTGGTGACACGGTGCCATTGGCTCCGGGCTCAGGGCAGCGATGCCCCCGGTTGGCAGAGGCGGCCAGGTTCCAGGCCAGCAGGGCTGCACCGGCTGCCACCGCGGCCAGGAACACAGCGGCCCCGCACAGCGCGAGCAGCCGCCACGCGCGGCTGGGCTCTGGCCCTGGCCCCGGCTCGGCCATGCTGCGGTCCCTCGCACTTGCCCCAGACGGCCACGAGCATTTAATTGGCACCTTGGGGTGCCAGAGACACCCACGGTCCCGCCCGCCCCGCCCAGTAAGGTTTCCTGATCCATGGGGAGGGACTGGACCCCCGCCAGGAGACGACCCAGCTTGTCCGAGCCTGAGACTGGACAGTGGGATCCCTGGATCCTCTGCCTCCCGCCTCCCTCCTCTGAACCTCAGTTTCCTCCTGTGGAGTTTGGTGTGAATGAGAAGCACCACGCAGGAAGAGGGGCTCTCAGTGAAAATCTGGGCTAGCATTGACCGCACTGTACCCTTGGGGACCCCGAGGCTGAAAGGACAGAGGCTATACAACTGATGAATCTCGCTTTCCTATGAGAACTTGAAGGGGAGGCCCCCAAAGTGAATCAGCCTGGTCTCCCTGTCGTTTCTCAATAGGCCACCAGGGGGTGACCTTGTAACGCGAATTGGATGAAAACCCACCGCAGTGGAATTGACTGGGTTTCAGGCCTGTACATCCTTTGTGGTAGGAGATGCAGTTGGTGGATTCGAACTCAAGATCTTTTCGCTAGAAGCGCAACACAGCATGTGCTGCTTTGAATAGGATAACACACTCAAACTCACCGCCCACTCCCAGCCTCCAACTGGTAACTGAGACTGGAGACTGTACGCTGCCCACCTTTCTCCCAACCGGATGGTGGATTTGAACTTCCAAAGATGAGCGGCCTTTGGGCTAGCAGCTCCACCCGCGACGGATAATGACCCCAAAGGTCTTGTAATTATGACCCCAGGCCGCTTTCCTCTGAATCCAGTTCCTTTCTTCCTCTGGCCTTGCCCTTAGGGAATTGCCCAGAAATCTCAATGACTGCAGCTCTTTGGCAGTTCGAATCCACCAACGGCTCATGAGAGAAACATAGGCAATCTCCTCCCGTGCGAGTTACAACTCAGAAAGCTGCGAGAGATCAGCTGAGAATCGGTTCTGACTTGATGACAAGGATTTTGAGAATTTCAAATGTTTCCTTCCTGCTCATCTCCTGGTCGCTCACCTGCCGCCTCCCTCTTCCTCCAGCTTCACACCCGCCCCTTCCTCCTCTCCCCCTTCCCTCCCCATCCTCCTTCCTCCCTTCCAGCTCAGCTCAACCCTCAGTGTTCCTCTCCATTTCTCCCTCCCTTTCCCACCCTTCCGCTTCCTCTTTCTCTTCTCTCCCTCTTTACAAGAGCTCCATTTTATCTATGGATGGTGCAAATGATTGCGCACCCTTGACTACTAGCCAAAAGGTTGGTGGTTCGAACCCACGTGTGGGACCAGGGATAACAAGCCTGTGATCTGCTTAGAAAATCCCATGGAGTCTTCTACTCAGCATACAACGTCTCATCTGTGCGAGTCGACTTCCAACTGACATAGGTGAATTGTCAAAATATGTGTCAACTTGGCTAGACCAAGACTCTCAATTTGTTGTTGTTGTTGTTGTTATGTACTGTCAAGTCGGAACTGACCCATAGCTGACCCTCCCGTGGGTGTTCAGAGGTATTTAGTCACATGGGAGGAGATTGTCCATCCTTCTCCTGTGAAGCAACTGGTGGCCTCGAACCATGAGACTCTCAATATTATGCAATTATCCTATGTGTTATTCTTATGGCAGAAAATGTGAGATTTAAACACTCAGCCGATATTGGAGATTAAACAATCCTTTTATTACGCGTGGGTCAAGAATGTCACCTATTGTCCAAACCGTCTGACCCCGAGGGGAAGCAAAGATTGGACTTATATACAGAGATTGGGCATGGGGGTTACAGGAAGTTCACTGTGGTTGGCAGGTGAGCTATCTTCCCACTCGGGACTTGTTATTTTTATTTTTTTTGGGGGGACTTGTTATTGTTTCTGACTTCTTATGAGTGTCCAGGCCCCAGGGCCAGGTACCAGATGTAGTCAGGGAGTGGTAACCAAGCTGGGTCAGCGTGTACTAGGGAACATAAACCTTAGCAAAGCAGATGATTGCCAAAATTATTGAAGCATACATTTCTTAAAATGGCTGTCAGAACAAGCTGGCTTCTCTGATGCTAACGTATACCATGGCTTCTCTAATGCTTAGCGTTTAAGCTGCTCCTATGTTGTAAATCCTGCTGTTAACGAGACAGGCTTAGAGGCAGTTGTGTGATGATGTCACCATGCACCTGTCATTTTGTCACACCGCGGGGCTTGCATGGAAGTTCTGCCCCTGGTACTTTAAATACCAGCAGGGACAACATAGCTTTCAGGGGAACTTAGAGACTCAGAAGCAGGACTGGACATTCACTTCTGAAATAACCCTATGTAGGACTCCAAAAACCCTGCAGATGGTGGAAGAACATTGCTCAAAATGCACCTGGGGAAGAGCTGCCTCCTCAAAGTTGTTGTTGTTGTTGGTGCCGTCAAGCCACCCGTGACACATAGTGACCCTACGGGCAGCAGCTCTGAAGCCTTCCCTATCCTGAGCCAGCCTCACTGATTCTGACACACCTACCCCCATAATGACATGGTTATAATAAAGTTTCCATCCAATGAAGGACCTTCATTTCTTGAAAATGAGGAGAAACAGCTGATATGGTGCATACAATGAATGGGTCTGAGCATGAGGGAGATTGTAATGATGGCTCAGGATAGTTCAACATTCCGATCTGTTGTTCACGGGATCTCTGTGAGCGGCAGTTGACTCAATGGCACCTAAGAACAACAAAAACATGTATTAATGTGGTTATCCCCATGTTGAGATGGGATATGATAAGGGTGGAATACAGCACATCTGATCAGGTCACAGCCTCCGATGACCTGCTTCAATTTTTGCCTTAAAAGATATAAAAGGAGAAGGAAAGGAGCAGAGAAGGAGGGGAGGGACCTCAGTACCACCAAGAACTAAGAGCCAGGAGTCTTTAGGGCTCAGGGTCCTGCACTGGGAGACTCCTCGAATCAGGAGACACAGAGAGCGGCTTCACTGTAAACCCAAAGGCTTCATGGTTCACATCCACCAGTGGCTCTGAGAGAGAAAGTTGAGCAATCTCCGCTGGGATTTACAACCTCAGAATCCTGCTGGAGGTCGAGCTATGTCAGTCCTTACTCCACAGAAATGAGAGCTGGCACTCAGAATTCACACTTGCAGCCTCATAAATTGCAAGAGTAAATTCTGTGTGTTCAAGTCATTTGCTAGTGGTGGTGTCTGTTACAGCTAAACCAGGGAACTAAGACCCCCACTAATAACAGCGTCTCCTCTTTACCAGCCCCCTCTAGCCCCTCTAGCAAGCACACCTCCCTGCTGCAGGGCCTTTGTTTTTTTGTTGTTAGGCGCTGTTGAGTATGACCCATAGTGACCCAATGAACAACAGATCTAAACCCTGTCCTATCCTGTGCCATCCCCACACTTCCTGACACACAGGAGCCTATTGCAGCAGTCACTGCATCAATCCACCTGGTTGAGGGTCTTCCTCTCCTTCATTGACCCTGCACCCTTCCCAGCGTCACATCCTTCTCCAAGGAATAGCATCTCCTAGTAATATGTCCAAAGTATGTGAGGCAAAGCCTCATCACTTTTGCCTCCAGAAAGCACTGTGGCTGCATCCTCTCCAGGACATAATTGTTTGTTCTTTTGGTCATCCATGGGATGGTCAGTGCCCTTCTCCAACACCACAGTCAAGGACATCGATTTCCTATCATCTCTATTCATCCTCCAGTTCTCAGATGCATCGCAAATGATTGGAAAGATCATGGCCTGAATCAGATGTACCTTAGTCCTCAAACTAACTCCTCAGTAATTTGGAGAGGTCCCTAACTGCAGACCTTCCCAGTGCAATGTGTCTCCTTATTCCTTATTGCTGGTACCAAGGCTGTCAACTGTGGATCCAAATAAGATAAAGTTGTTGACAGATTCAATTTCCTCTCCATCCATCATGATGTTGCCTAGCAGTCCAGTGGGAAGAATTTGTTTTCTTGACATTGAGATGCAGTCCATATTGATACCATCCTTTTAGCATGTGCCAATCCCTGACTGGGGTCCTCTCCTCCCTCTTTCCTGCCTACCTACCTTTCACCTCCTAGTTCTCACACACATACCATCTCCTCCAGGGAGCCCTCTTCACTAGCTCAGCACCACCATTTTTTTTTAACTGTAGGGGATAAAATACCTGCCAAAATCAATGCCCTCTCAGCTCGTTCCTCTTGGCCCAGTTCAGTGACATTTCCTTCTTCTTTTTTTTTTCTATAATTATATTTTATTAATTTTCATAAACATTTACAGAGATTTTGGGCTTCCACTCATTCATTGTTGCACTATTCTCTCTACCCTCCTCCCAGTTTGTTCTTGTCCAAATGCCACAGTGCTTGTCAAAGCCAGTTCTGATTAATCTTCTTTGTCAGTGTGTCCTTTGCCATTCCCTATCACTCCTCCCTGAGAGAGACTTCACCCTGAGTCATAAGGAAAAGGGGATGGCGTATTCTCTTAGCTACTTCCTGCTGAAAAGGGACGCTGTGGGTTTCAGGGTGAAGATCTTCTCTCACTACTCTAAAGGGCCCCTTTGGCAGTAGGAAACACATAGACTATTATGGAGATTGATTTTGGAATTCAGATGCACTCTTATTGATTGTGCTTGGCTGTACATGTACATATCCTTGAAGATGTATCATGGGGGTGTTGCAACCTAGAAGACACAAATTTGACTAACAAGTTATAAGTACATGAGTCCAAAAATTATGGAAAAGTAAAAGAAAAGATTCTTTCATTGTTTTACAAACCCTCCCCCAGGTCCCCTCCACCATGCAGCCCTCGCTCTAGTCTCCTGTGATGACAGAAATACCCAGAGACATTTCCTTCTTCAAGTTGTGCAAATAGTCTTTTCCCCCTGCTTTTTTAAGTTTTTAAAAATTATTAATTTTAATGAACATTCACAGAGAATTAGGGTTTCCATTCATTCATTGTTGCACTTTTCTTCCTGCCCACCTCTCCTCCTCCAGTTCACTCTTCTCTTTGAAAAGTAAAAGAAAATGCT